CAGGGTTCAATTCCCAGTCAGGGCACATGCCTGGGGTGTGGGCTCAATCCCGTGTGGGGTGTGCAGGAGGCAGCTGATCAATGATTCTCTCATCATTGGTTTTCTATCTCTCCATCTCCCTTCCTCTCTGAAATCAATAAAAATATATTAAAAAAAAAGAAAGAAAGAAAGAAAGAAGGAACTCTTACCATTTGTAACATCATGAATGGACCTGGAGAGTATTATGCTAAGGGAAATAAGCCAGTCAAAGAAAGGCAAGTATCACATGATCTCATTCATATGTGGAATCTAATGAACAAATTAAACTGATGAACAAAATAGATCCAGAGACATAAAACTATGGAACAGACTGAGGAATTTCAAAGGGGAGGCGGGGATGGGGAAGTGGGTGGGGGAAGATTAACTGGGAAATTTATCTGCAGAGCCCAAGGACACAGACAATAGTGTGGTGAAGGCCTGGGAGGGGCGGGTGCTGGGGGGAGGGGGTCAATGGGAAAACAACAACAAAAAACCCAAAGGAGACATCTGTAATACTATCAACAACAAAGATAAATTAAAAAATAAAAGAATGAGGCTCTGGCTGGGTAGTTCAGTTGGTTAGAGTGTCATCGTGATAGGCCAAGGTTTCAGGTTCAATTCCTGGTCAGGGTACATACAAGAAGCAATCAATGAACGCATACATAAGTGAAATAACAAAGCATTATTTCTCTCTCTCTCTCTCTCTCTCTCCCTTCTCCTCTCTCTAAAATTAATCAATAAATAAAATAAAGATGTATGGACATTGTTTAAAAAAATAAATAAAAAAAGAATGGGTATTACAGGCCTGGAGAAGTAGGCAAAAGGAATAAAAATGGGTATAATGATTACAGATTATAGGCAATTCTGGCTGGGACTAGACTCTATTATTTGGGTAACAGGGTTGCTAATCTTTCTATGATAATAGGCAGTTCTTGAATGAGAATGGACCACATTCCAAGGTTGACTCCCAGGGGCAAGTCAACACCCAGGCCCCAGGGGCTAGGTTGACTCCCAGGTCCCAGGGCGTACAACTAACTCCCAGGCAGGTTAGAATGTGCTTTCTTTACTCAGAACAAAGCAATCACGGTTAACAGAGCATGATTAATATTTAGCTAGCCCCCAATATTCTATTTCTGCCCCTGACACTAGGTCATAACACAGTGTTTGGCACAGGGCAGTTATCCAGTAAATAAGAATAAGTGTGTGGCCCTAGCCAGTTTGGCTTAGTAGATAGAGCTGTGATATTGTGATTTATAAGAAATATATATTTGGTCTTCCTCCATTCCTACCACAAAACTCCTAAAATCCTTGGGATTTCTGAAGGGATTAGAGAATTTGTAAAGAATTATAAATGTATTAGGTCATCTGGAAATCAGATGGGCTCAGCCCCAAAATGGCACTAGCCAAAAGGTGTCTTTTGCTATTCAGAACAAACCCCTTTCATAAATATGTTTTTTATTTCAGAAAGAGAGAGGGAGAGAAGCATCAATAATGAGAATCATTGATCAGCCGCCTCCTGCACACCCCTTACTGGGAAAGGAACATGCAACCTGGGCATGTGCCCTGGCTGGGAATTGAGCTGTGACCTCCTGGTTCACAGGTCAAACCTCATCCCCTTAGCCACACTGGCCGGGCTCATAACAAGCCCCTTTCAATCACAGGAGTTTATGTTAATGGGTTGACTTCAGGAAAGCCCCTTAGGTAACCTAAGAATGTGGGAGCTGGTTGCTAGAAGAACTAACCATAGTTAGAGGACTGGAACTTTCAGGAAGGGGAGAGAAAGGGGCTGGAAATCAAGTCCAATCACCAATGGCCAATGATTGAATCAATTATGTCTATGTAATGAAACCCCCAAAACCCAAAAGGACAAGGTTCCAAGAGCTTCCTGGTTGGTAAACTGTGGAGGTGCTGGGTGGGTGATGCCCCCAAAGAGGGTGTGGAAACTGTGTCCCTTCTCGCATGTCTTGCCCAATGCATCTCTTCCAACCGGCTGCTCCTGAGTTTGATCCTTTTATAATAAATTGATAATTAGTAGTTAAAATGTTTCCGAGTTTTGTGAGCCACTCTAGCAAATTAATTTAACCCAAGTGTGTGGGGAGGGGTTGTGGGAACCTCCAAATTACAAGCAGTTGGTCAAAAGCACAAGTGAGAACCTGGACTTGCAACTGATATCTGAAGGGTGTGTGTGCGCGCGCAGTCTTATTAGCCTGAATCCCTAACCTGTGTGATCTGATGCCGTCTCCAGGTAGGTAGTGTCTGAATTGAGTTAAATTGTAGGACACCCACGTGGTATCACAGAATTGTTTGATGAGTGGAAAACTCACAGAAGTGTAAGAGTGGAGTATCGAGAATACAGGAGACACAGGGGAATGAGTTTTTCCTTTACACCATCCTTTAGATGAGAAAACCAATAGAAGAGGAGGGGGTGGCCAGGAAGATTGCGGAGCAGCCACTGAGGGAAGGACATGTCTAGATAGCAAGAGAGGTCATCTGTGCTGGTGACTGCAGAGCTGAGGACAGAGAGGCCACTGGCTTTGGCAGTAGGGAAATCATGGGAACCTCCTTGATAAAAGCAGCTAGAGAGGAGTGCTAAGGTCACAGGCCAGATTGGAGTAGGTGGAACAGTGAATAGAAGAGGAAGTCAACAGAGTATAGACCTGTACTGTCCTCTACTGTAGCTACTCACCATGTGGCTATTGAGCACTTGCATGTGGGGAGTCTGAATTGAGATGACCTGTAAGTGTAAAACACACACCAGATTTCCAAAGGGCGGTGTGAAAAAGAGAAGGTAGAATATTTCATTAACATAGTAAAAATACTGATTTCATATAGAAATGTAAACATTCGATAGATTGGGTTAAATTCAATATATTAAAAATTGAAATCACCCTCTACCTTCTAAACCTGCACCTTCTGTCATTTTTTTTTAAATGTTTGGAAACGACTGTATTTAAAAAATATATATTTTTATTGATTTCAGAGAAGGGAGAGGGAGAGATAGAAACATCAATGATGAGAATCACTGATTGGCTGCCTCCTGTACACCCCACACTGGGGATCGAGCCCACAACCCGGGCCTGTGTCCTTGACCAGAATTGACCCCAGGACCCTTTAGTCCGCAGGCCGATGCTCTATCCACTGAGCCAAACCATCTAGGCCCTTGCTGTAGTATCTACCTCACTTGGTATTGTTAAAAAACAAAATTCAATTGAGCTGATCTGAAGATCTAATTGTCATTAGAAAACCATTTATGAATCGGGCAGCCTCTCACCTAACAACTAGAGGGGAGCTAGGTGAGAGGTGAATAGTTGCACAAAATGGTAGGTTTTACAGGCATACCTCAGAGGTAGTACAGGTTTGGTTCCAAGATTACCACAGTGGAGGTCCTTGCCTTCAAATCTGTAAGAAAATTCAACATTTGGGAAGTGGGATAAAGTGAAACACAATGGTAAGCCAGCATAGACAGAAAGAGGGTGGGACAAGGAAGTTCAGTGGATTAATTCAGGCAACTAGGGGAAAGGTAGGGGGTTTGAACAGGTAATTCCCCCAGCACTGGCAGGTGTGGCCGATTTAATTCCCCGTAGGGGTGCATGCGGAAGGCAACTGATTGAAGTTTCTGTCACATCTCTCCCTCCCTCCCCCCTTCTCTCTAAGATCAATTAAAAAAAAAAAATTCCATTCCTGGACGAGCCTGAAGCTGCAAGTACAGACATATCTTGGAGATATTGAGGGTTCAGTTCCAGATCACTGCAATAAAGTTAGTTGTAATCTTTTTGCTGGAGGGTCTTGCCTTCAATTTATAAAAAATGCAACATCTGTGAAGTGCAATAAAGCAAAGCTCACCCTAGCCGGTTTGGCTCAGTCAATAGAGCATCGGCCTGCGGACTAAAGG